CCGGCATGCACCTGTGGGGGGGTGGGGGGGGGGGGGGGGGGCCTCTCTACTCTAGGGCTAGCCCTTGCCCCCAACCAGCAACCTGGACCACAGCTGGCCATGCATAAAACAGACAATTTTCCATCCCTTTCCAAGAGGCCTTCACATACAATGTCCAATGTGGGATCCTGCCTCCCAAACGCCACCTTTAAGCAGGTTGCACCCAACTCTCTCCCAACCAAACCTCCTAGTGTTGCCATGACTCCATACACATAGCTTAGAGCTAAGTCTGCAATAATTTCACTAGACGCCATTAGGATATGCCCTGTCCGGTTTAAAGGTGCCGCCCGTTGAACCTCATCCTTTTTCTAGACGTGACATTGCTGTTGCTATGGAAACCGCAAAACCAGCACTACCCCAACTTCTACATGGAGCCCGTCATGTGCAAAATGTTAATTTAATTAGCAGTGTATGATAAAAACGCTCCGCTAAAATGGTCACTAGAAATATTGCGGCTTATCTCTTATATCTGTTCTGCTAGCGGAAAGCACCGAGTGGTCAGGAGGGGGAAGGTTTAATACATACACACAGCAGCAGACAGATATATTGTAATGTATAACCTCCTCTGTGAGTCTCTCAGGAACCATTCTCCTGTATTTACATAATGCTAATTGTATACAGCGCGGATCGGAAGTCCAGGCACGTCTCTCCATCACAGAGAGCTATGTCTGGTGCATTTTTTGCAATCTCAGCCACCGGGGAGACGATATGGCCTTCTTGTCAGCGTTGAAAGGGATGCAGATGATGATGTTCAAAGATATTTTCTGGGTGATCATAAAATTCTAACGGCAGAGCACTGACTGGATGACTGAGCGCTCCTCCATTAACAGGAATGATCAAAACAGTCAATTCATTCCTAATTGTTAGTAGGGAATAGGGATGAGCATAACGGAGTGTCTTCATGTCCCGGTGAAAATTGGGAGATGTAGCCAATAGTTTGCCACTGTGAGAAAATGCTCTGGAGTCAACAGGGCAGGCAAAAATAAGAGGGGGTTTAAAGGGTGCAATGGGCTTTCAATGGCTCCGGACAGTTAGAGAAGCTGCTTTATTGTACGTCATTATCTTTCATGACAAAACCGACAGCAAAAAAGGAAAATTAAAAAAATAAAGCAACTGTATACAAAAATGGCTTTCAACAATGGCTCCTGCGGGTTAAAGATGCTCCTTTTAACTATCCTGTAACTGTATTGTGCCCAAAAAAAAGGTTCTTCATTAGCCTTATT